GATATGGGTCAGAATCGATCTCACTGGTGCAGATGTACTCACACATTATCTTCATCTTAATTGTTATACAGAAATCAGTATTTTCTCATTTTTCCTTCTTACCTTTCTTCTTACTACTTTTTACTACTGTTGTACAATTTTTCTCTATTTCTTCCTCTTCTTGCTTTATTGTTCTGAGATTAGGTGTGGCGACTTGGACCGTGATGCAATAATGCCTGACCTATGAAGTTATGATGATAATGATGACTGAGTTAGAGTTGGAACCAAATCTGTGGTGAAACACACAACTTTCCAAATTCTGATTCAATCTTTATCAAGTTGTGGTTCCATTTCAGACTTCTTACGGTTTGGTCAATGTTACTCAATGACATTTATGCATACGTATTCTTGCAGTTTGTTAGATTCTTTGTTGAATGGTTAATAAAATGCAGGAAGATTTATGATATGCTCCTGTTGACAGAGTTTGTGGTGTCGGCATGACTTTTACGATGGCGTTTCTGTTTCTTCAAATTCGCATTCATATGACTGTGGCAGTTAGTGACTGGATTAGAAACTTGACTGATCGCATGCAACTTAGACTAACCATTTGATGCATTTTTATAAAGTCAAACCAAAATTGCCCGCTTCTGGATGCTCTGCATCTTAGAAGTCTTAGTTATAGATGGCTCAAAACTAGAAGTCTTCATGCACCAAGATTTTTTACAATCCTTTTTAGTACCGTGTAACTAGTTAATCAAATTTAACAAATGACTTAAAAAACTGCTTCTCTTACTCGGTTTATTTTCTGACCTATTTGTTTCCGGCACAATTCTTTTAGTCAAAGCTTAAACAAGTTTGAGGAAACTCCAGAGTACACTGGCGAACATGAAAATTAAATCTGAATCTTTTGGCATAATAGCAATTCCATATTGACGGTAATGACTAAAAACGTTTATGAATAAAATAAATCTAGCATCTGATGATCAACTATGATTTAACATAGATGGCTATAAGATAAATATGACGGAGAACAAACAAAAGCAGATCCTAAGTAATTACAGAAATGAACACAGTTGACAAATAACCTACTACAAGAGCAGAGCAAGAGAACTCTACTTAACGTTCATATATTGCCAACAAAAAGTACGCAAAACTGGTTTACCAATGAAGATATTTTTTCATGCTCAAATAATCAGGCGACAAATGTTTTCTCAGAATAAAAACCGTTTTTAAAAGGTTTTTATGAATCTGCTTGTATATTTCTTGAAGATTTCTTTCTATGATATCAGTGGAAATCTAAAACATTGAGATGTTTCAAACTTTTGAGCATTATCAACTATCTGCTTCTTGTTTAGAAGGATATATCCAAGTGAAGAAGACAAATGTTCCGACTATGTGTAAAACATTATCAGGGGTGAAGTAAATATTTCTCTACTTGTGCGTAAAAGGGATGTTTAATATTTGCTCAACAGTTTGCAAAAATATTTATAAAGTAAACTTTAACAGTCTATTTAAACTAGTATTATACGATTACTGTGTACACTCATCTAGCAGAATTCGTTGTTCATATTTGATGTGAATATGAGCAATAAATTCTACTCGAAACGTCATTCAGTAAACTATACTGTATCATTGTGTGCTACATAAAATAGACAGTTTAATATGGAGTTAAGCCACCACAGTGTCCGTGTTTTATGCTTTTACGTATTTGACTGTTAGTCTGAGCTAAGTAGCGTGGTGTAGACTAATTGTTTGTTGTTCTCTAGATAATAGGAATCATTGGTTGGAGAGTCTTCATGATAATAATACAAATCGATTACAATAGCAAAGATGTATAGCTTCCTTGTTATCTTCAAAGTCTTGAATATTTTTACTAACTATAGCTTATTTATTCTGTATCCTGTTATACATTTTGTCTACTTTAATGCGACCTTTTCTCTATCCACTTATTCTTTGCATAATAATGTGAGTTATGGCAGTACGAGGCGATGCACCTATCTGCTTATGCATCTACATTTTGCATCACATATGAAATTCATAGGAAGTGAGACCAACTGGTTCGACGTTGTTTACTAATGTTAAGTGTATTAGCTAAATATATGACAGGTTCATATTATATCACACGTTTACTATTTGTAACTATGTTTTAGAAGCGCAATCGTAGAATATTCAGAATATGGTCAGCCAAGAAAAAATTACTAGACCTGATAGTTTCTGTGTAAAGCATGAACAAAAAAGGTTAACTTCGACCCGAAATCTGATATTCTAGTGCATGAAACCAACTGATTACAACGTTAACCAATCATTCTTCTTGGAAATGACTTGAAATTGAGTGATAGTAAACCAAAAGCTTAGAAGAAAGTGATAATGTTTCCTGCACAATCTGCTTCTAACCCACTTCAGGTACAGATTTGATCAGTTTTGCTGAAGTTTTGGTATATGCTCCTCAAAACTTGTAGACTGCATCAACTTATCCATCTACAAAGCTGATTTCACCTGACATTTTCTCATCATAGTAAGTCTGAGATCTGGTTCATGTACTACTAGTTCTGAGATGACTACCGTTGCAAAATCACAGTTTAGTTGTACCAAAAGCAGTATCATACACAATCATATGATCATTATGAACATTTTGTTAACAACTTCAAAATGGCCTTGATTTACACCTTCACTCTGAATCAGTCCGAATCAAATGAACAGCCACTAGCTAGCGCATTCGTAGAACACAAATTATGCGCTTTCCACAACGTTACTTTTTGTAATAAAAATGCAAGTTTCAGCACCGCAGTATCTAATAAGTGGGCGTCTTTCAAGATAGTGAGACGCAAAACAAGTTGGTATCGACAATAGAGTGTATGATTGGTGTTATAAGTGTTAGTTATCGAGATAAAAATCGTATTGTAGGATGCCAGCTTATAAATTGACATTCTTCAGTCCATAGATCATGGACAACCAGTTAGAACTAATCAAAATCCAGTTTCCTTCCATTATTCAGGATTTGAAACAAAAGTTAAGAACCAAGTGTCCACTGAAACGTTTACACAGTTCACTCATTTTAATAAAGCAGTCGTGACCTATCATTTCTCCTCGGTAACTGGATTTACCTTTTATCATATAACTCTTGGTTGATGCAGTCCCAGAAATAATTTTAAGTTAGAATACCTTCACTACACTGCACTGCCACTCAGTAAAAGTTACATAGCCTCCTTAGGCTCAACTGCTTCAACTGACCAACCATCATATTTCAAACGATTTGAGATATGTTCAGCCCACAGATATAAAAAGCACAAGTACTATCACTTGCTATTATGAAATTAGTATTTGACACTAGTGCTGTTATCAGTATGTATAAACTTGTATGATGAATAAAATCCATGAAAGTGAACATAAGTTCAACGAAGGTCCTAAATGTTGCAACCATTCAATCAGCTGTCAGAAACGACATAATATATTGTGTAGATGTGAAAATCAACAGAAAGAGAGGAGCCGAGAACTGCAGTTTTATCAAATAAAGTTTAATATTTAATAATTGACATTTTTATCGACAGAAAATTCATTCACCTACAATTCGTTTTACTTCAGCCGAAATCTTAACATAATAAAATCAGTCTGGTGACAATCAGATCATTCAAATCCTTTTGGTAAATACTAAAATACTAAATACTAAAAATATCCTGCATTTTTAGAAAATGAATACGTAGCTCCCTGGAGGCTAAAAAAATCTTACTGCTGCTTATTATCCAGCCGGATTTCCATTTGTCAGTGGATAGATTAGGGATAATTTGGCAAAGCCCGGTGCTATTGCAACAGCAGTTCATGAAAGTTATGACAGTACAAACGATCACCAATTAGTGGATTGAACTTGTGTACTGCAAAACCTGTTGCGAGTAGGATATAGAATGAGACTTTCTGAATTCTGTTTTGCAGGTAATGAGGCTACAGTTATTCACAGCTAGTGAAATTAAGATTCCCTAGCATTCAAGCGAAATAAAACAAAATGTTTTATTTGCTTTCAACAATATAACTGTAAAATGTTGTCTTACCAAATTCATTTCTCAAGTAGTTCATTAGATCGATGTATAAATATCTATCCAGGGAATTTTACCGAAGTTCCTGGTTCCAAGAGCATAATTCATAGCTACATATAGACAAATCACAGAATGAAATGGAATTAGAAGTACAAACTCAGCCACTTTGTGCACATCCGTGCAGTATGTAATTAGCCATACCTAAAGTGTGAGAGGTAGTGACACCACTTGGTGCTCAAACCTTCATAGGCGGCGCGGTGCTCGAACCTGTGACCCAGTGTTTGATAATCATATCCACAAACAAGTGAGCCACAGCTTCACAGTGCACCACAGTGTGGTGTCACTTAGCTAAGTAGTCATTCTTGATAGATAGACTTAAATCAGTAAATGTTTGCCCAAGAGTAAAGCGCTACACTGGTCACCTAATAGCAGGGATTTCATAAACAGGTTCCGTTCAAACCTCTCTTTGTTGTCGCTAACAATGAATTACTATCAGAACAGACAGTTCACCGAAACGAGAAATTTTCTAGCAATAAACTCAAATGAAAAGCGAAAATCAACATCGACAAAACTTTTTCCCTTGAGAAAAGCCTAACAGACTGCGCTAGATTCATCATGAGGAGAGCAGTAATTAACTTCTTATCAAGCAAGTAAGATTAAGTACCACCCTCTTTCACTAAGGGTTTATTTTAGATGCCAGTCTAGAACAGATTATATATTACTTTAATCTAGCTACACTTATGGTAGACATCCTTTTCCCTTACTTTTCATGGCAGCGAATCTCGCTACAGTAATAATACACCTTCCTTACTTTAAGGTACCTCATAAAAATGTTTACCATAGATTCACAAGTGATAGTTATTCATCTGTAAAATCAAAAAATAAGTTTTCATGGAATTAGTTTATTCAAATGGCATATAAAACTGGGAATTACACAACATAAAATTTTTTATACCGCAAGAGAAATACAAACGCTTGCAGTATTCTAGTGAATTATTCCAGTGCATTATAGCACAGTTTTATAAAGAGTGGTGGAAGATGTCTAGGGGCCTTAAAAACATAATTCGGAATTGCATCCAATTCATAAATACTCTCATCTTCCGAATTTTGAAGTGTAATGTCCTCAACGACTAAAATAAGTTGATCTAAAAAAGTTACAGAGTGGGTTTTGAAAGTGCAAATCACAGTTATCAGTAAGTATTTACAAACAAGGAAAAACATGTAAATGCACACATTTAATGCCTGCTACTGCACAAATAAAAACAAACAAGAAATCATATATTTGTTGTCTGACTAGCTGTATGAATTGAAAGTGAACCTAGGGATTTACGGTTCAAGACATATGGTATGTTACCTTGGACAAGCTGTTACACTCCAACTAATACTATGGTTATATAGCATACTGACAGTACTGAGCTCACCTCTAAATCCAATGGTCCTGGATGGGCACTGCTTGGGTGTCCCATGCCAGAACGAAACAGCCGTCCAGGTTTTCAGTGACCCTCAAACCGATGTCAGTCTGTGATGAATACCACCTTGATATCTATTATTCTTGCGCCATTATTTTGGAAAGTACATAGAGGTAACTAATCTAAATTTACTAAGCTACAATGTTTTTAGTTGCAAATAGCACTTTAATAATAATCAAATAGGCAATTTAAGTGTGCGATCGAGGACTTAGCTAGATGACGGACAGTTAAAATAATACCGGATTCCATTTCTGCTAGACCTCTAAATTTCCAGCCTTCCACTTCAGCTTTCTAGTCTGGGAGTATACCCTTAATATATTCCTCCCAGTGATATGCTTACCAGCCATCTCTTTTTTAGAATCAATCCTATCAGGGGACCTATCACGCCTTTCCAACGTTACCAGTTGTTTATATCTTGTAATTATCTCTTCGCCTTTCACAAGGAATATGCGAACTCATCATGACATCAAGTTTGTTTTTCCTGAAAGCATCAAAGTTTTTACGCAGTGCGAATTAAATTTCCAAGCTGTACCTAACTACATAATTTCTAGAAATGAAATTCTCAGCTGTTAGATATTTCCAAAAAAAAATAATACGAACTCTTCAGACTTTTATTCAGCTTACAGATGAACTGTTTTCATGTCATCGCAAGATACAAAAAGCTATTGTACTCACCGCCCAGTTGTCCTCTGTTAGATCTTGGTGAATTGATGAATTCTTCGAATAGTAGGATTGATTTTTCCAAAAACGACAAATCAATGAAATCTTCCATTGCAGACAGCTCATGTGTTGACTTTGAAAGACACGGTTGACTTAAGTCACTCAGATTGCCATCACTTGTCAAAGATTTTGCAATGGAACAAGAAATAAAGCCACGGCTAGTGAGTTTTGTGTGCACAAATACCTCGTTGACTAACCGTCGACTTTCTGAAGTATACCAAAAATATATTTTGATAGTAGTAAGACTGATGAATAATGGCTACATCTTGAAGGTTAATCAAAGAAACTACAGATACAGTTTATTAGAAACTTAGTTTTATTTGAATTAAATAACTGATCTTTCAAAACCTAGATAAAAATTAAGACAGACGCGATAAAAAAATAACTGCTGACCTCTAAAATTCATCTTTACCTGTAGTGTTAATTCATTGGACATCAAAATGTGTTCAGAATAGCCTGAATTGAATTAAATATAATTCACCTGTAGAAATACAGCGATTTGGTTTCCAAAAGAAAAAGTAATGCTTAAATACTCAGCATAGCATTTGAGTAACAGCACATATAATTGTAATTATACTATGACTAAGCACGTAGCCTACGCAAAAGTCCTATTGACCACGAAGTGAAAACCATTGAAGAATGAGTCAGCAATTAACTTCTGTATTCTGAAGTAAATGTTCACCTAATATTCTGCACATGTGACAGTTGAGTGCCACACTGAAGGGACAGAGTGAATAATAATAAATACGCGAATGATATTAACGGGAAGAGATGCTGGGTCTGGATACGAATAGTGACTGTTCTCCTTCAGAACCATACACTTCACTGAGTCGCAAAAGTCAGAAGACAAAGACCAGCCTGTGACTGTAGAGAAAATACATCGTTTATTTACAGTTTTCATGAACGTATAAAACCACTAGGTTAAAAGTTGGATAACTTATTTTCATTGGTGAGTCGTAGGATGAATTGTCCAATAAGGTTCTTCCTGACCACAGTGACATGAAACACAATTGAAATCCGAAACTTCTACCTTAGTGGCTGATGACTTAAAATGTTGATTTTCATTTAGGCCACTTCTCGTCATCTCCCCCCGTAAAGCTTGTCTGGCTTCCATTTTTGATCCATTTGGAAGGGCTTTGGTCTTTTTCTTTGTCTAACTGAACTTCCCTCTGCGTCATGTGTTTCCACATGCGGTATACCAAAGGTATCCAACAAAAATTCAAATTCTATTTCTTGATGTCTGATGTCTCTGCTGAAGGTCGTATGTGGTTTGCATGCCTGGTTCATGTTTGAAGTCTTACAGTCGCTGTTTGCAGGACATTTTCTTGAAGTAGACTTCCTTTCAGACAATAAAATCATATCAGCGGTTTTTGCATAGAGAATACTGACCAACACTGAAACCTTATAAATAGTGTTCCGTTAAAATTCTTGAACTATCTAAAAGATCTAAGTTGTATAGTTTCCTAGGATTTTAATGATAACTATCGTCCTTCCTGTAGTGATGCCTACACGAGTAATTATAGTTATCAATAAATATCAGTCCCAGTTCATAGTTTAATTTTGAAAACAGGGCAATTATAATGTGTGTTAACCGTCGAATTGTGACATTTTGTTTCTCCTGGGTAAATAACTACACTGAATATCGCAATTTTAAAGTTCTCTTTTGGTTGAGTCAACTTATACAGCTTTTATGAGAAACGGAGGTAAAATTAGGGAACTTACGCTATTCAAGACTGAGAATATTTGTCAATGGAAGAGCCTAAACACCTTAAATTGTATCATGGTAAGAAGATAAGGTCTCTTGAGTGCAAATCTGAATAATTCATGACCAGTGACTAATCTACTACTGATGTCAGTGTATATTCAAAAACACTTTCTGCGTCATCAACATCACGAATTTTACACTTTTGTAACCACTAACCGGTTACTTAATCTAAGCCATATTTGTATCTAGCCATACATATAAATGTATTGATTCTAGTCTCCACCAGCAACTGGTTTTCTTCAAAGTTCGAAAATGGTTTGAAAGGTATCTTCACTAAAAGTCAGTACTACTTCATCGGTTTTCCCGAACAAAAGTTGCGATGACAAGATGTTATGCAAAAACGAAAATTAGTATAATGTAAAGTAACAAAATATAAAGCTTAAAAAGTCATTTAATCCCATCCAACTGCCAGTTTAATGCAGTTTTACTATGAGGATAATTTTCATGCATATTTTTTTTTAAAATATTGATGAAGTGATCAAAACTGATTACTGATATATGTCAATAAAAGGTTGTTGCATTATGGAATGGATTCATGTATTATAAGTAACTTTTTTATGCCAAGTTTACTCACAATAAGTTTTTATTTTGGTGATATTTTGAGTGAAATCACTCCTCCATGATCACACCAACAATCGGAATGTTTTAGCAATATTTAGAAATATTACCAAAATGAAAACTTATTATTGTGTATAAACTTTGCATTTATAATTTACTTATAATACATTAAAAGTGATTATGTTTTTCAACTTCATATCAGTGCACCTATGCATACGAGCTATTGTATAGCAGTCATTTGCTTACTTTAAAATTTCGGTTAGTATGCTAAATGGATAGTAAACTTAACCACGGGATCGAATCCAGAATAAAAGTACTAACTGCATGCGTAGAACCTCTAAATTAGTCGAATTAAGAAAAATATTAACATGTGGCTTCAACAACAGCGTCTACATATCATTATTATTATTATTATTATTATTATTATTATTATTATTATTATTACTAGTTATTATTAGTCCCTCGGGTTCCTAATGGAATATAGGGCTTCAGTAGCACATCTCCAGTGAACTCTGTTCTCTGAAATCTTTTGAACCTCGCTCCACGACAGCCCACAAGCCCTCATTTCCTCCTCACACGATCTCCTCCATGTCACCCTCACCTCGGACGTCCAACTTGTCGCTTCCCATGGGGATTCCACTAGAGGGCCTGGCCTGGCGCGTGATGTCACCAGTCGGCCTTCTCAGTGTATGCCTAGTTCAATCCATCTCCACTTCCTGCCAGTGCATATTTGTTGGGTGATAGCTTCTTGGTTGGTTCGTTCCTAGAGCTCCTTCTTGCTTATCCTTTCTGGCCACCTGATCTTCAGTAGCGAGCCAGCGTAAGCAGTTGGTGATGAATGTCTGTAGTTTATTGGAAATCCCTTTCGTAACGCGCCAAGTCTATGAACCATACAAAAGCACTGACTTGACTGAAGTTGGTGTTGAAAATCCGGATCTTGCTCACGCTTTATGCTGAGTGCAGAAGATCTCCACACTGGTTTCAGGCTAATGAACGCCTGTCTTGCTTTTCCGACTCTGACTTTGACACCCTCGTCTGTGTCGCCGCCTGTAGTAGAAACAGTGCTTCCTAGATAGGTGAAGGAGGTTACTTCCTTTAAGTTTCTCCCGTCCATGGTGACTGGAGTTTGTTGTTGTTGTGTGGTGCTGTATCTTCACCACTTCTGTCTTCTCTATATTCAAGTTTGTGTGACATCAGACACAAGTCATCATTGACGAAATCCAGATCTTTTAGGTTCTTTTCCTCAGTCCAGCCAGCGTATCCCCCTCTTCTCGCTCCACACTGTTTGATGCATGATCCAGTCCAGTCGACCACAATCAGGAATTTCATGGGGGATAGTAGGCAACCTTGTTTCACTCCTGTCTTCACTTCACTTCAGTGACATCACTGAGCTTCCCATTGTGAATTACTTGGCTGGCATGTGGTGTCTTCGTATAGTTGTTGAATGAGGCTGATAAAGGTTTGCGGTATTCCGTAGTATTGAAGCAGTTTCCAAATTACTTCTCGGTCGACGCTATCGAAAGCCTTCTCAAAGTCGATAAAGTTGAGGTGAGGTGTAGAGTTGACTGCCATTCTGTACTCTGTTCTGTGATGATGCGATGCGTTGCAATTTGGTCTGCACATGATTTGTACTTCCTGAAGCATGCCTGTTCCGGTGGTAGTTTTGAATCCAGTGCATCTTTCAGCCTCTCCAGGATGATGCGCCTTAATATTTTGCTTGCTTTGGGTGGACAGGAGAGTGATTCCTCACCAGTTCTTGCAAACACTGAGGTCTCACTTCTTCGGGAGTTTGATAAGGTAACCCTTCTTCCAATCACTAGCCAGGCACCTTCTCTTCCTTCCACAACTTCTGCAATAGTGGTGTCAGCATGTCGGCTGTTGTCTCTGCGTCCGTTTTCAGTGCTTCTGGCGGTATTCCATCTGGTCCTGCTGCTTTCCCACATTTCAGTAGCTTTATGGCATTCAGGGTTTCCATTTTTGTTGGAGGATTTATGTCCGCTTGTAGTTCTGTGGCTGGGCAGTAGGTGGTATTTCTGGACGAAGTGCAGGTGGTGGTGGTGGTCGACTCCAGAGTTTTTCGAAGTGGTCAGCCCATTGTTTTCTTTGTTTCTCTTCTTTGTAAATAGATTTCCTTCATCATCTTTTATTGGTTTCATCCGTGTTGATCTCTTCCCAGATAGCAACCTGGTTATTTGATACAATGTTGTCAGGTCTCTGTCTCTCCTACCTGCAGCCTGTTCTGCCTCACTTGCCAGTGTTTCGTAGAAGTGCCTTTTGTTCTTCCGTGCACTCTTCTTCACTTCTTTGTTCAGTGTAGTGTTTTATGCATTGTACTCAGTTCTCTTGTCGTTGAGCATCCTTGCACTGGCTTATCTTCTGCTTCACCATCCTCCTCTCCTCTATCAGCTTCCAGGTATCCGTCGAGATCCATTCCTTGTCTTCTTTCTTCTTCCTTCCTAATAAGGCTGTGTAGGTTTCTTTCCACATAGCTTTCAAAGAGCTCCAGTGTTCTTCCATACAGGTTTCTTCAGGGATGTTCCTCGATATCTCCTATTTTGTCTTGATGGCTGCCGTGAAGATTTCGTTTCTAGTTTCATCCTTCAGTTTCCGAGTATTCTACTTGGACTGCGGTCTATCACTAGCTTCCTTGAAGGCTTTTAACTTGGTTTGGAAGGTTTCCTTGCGCTAGATGAGGTCTGAGCCTACATCTGCTCCTCTTCTTGACCGTGTGTCAAATAGACTGCATCTCCATTCTCTTGAGATTGAGAT